AAAAAGTATTTCTCCAGTCACCGGAGATAAAGTGAGCTCAAAACAACGTCGTTTTGGGGCAGAAATCAAGGTATTTTTGTAATTATAATATATTGCAGGGTTATATTAGTATTTATCATTATAATTTTTTAATCTTAGAACCCCAAAATGACGTCGTTTTGAGTTCACTGGAGATAACTTTATCTCCGGTGACTGGAGAAATACTTTTTTCACACATATATATATATATATATATATGTATATATATAAATTAAAATCATGAGAATTTTGATTTAAAAAAATGACTTGTGTATAAGTTGAAATCTAGCTCACTAAATCATAGGGCATTGAAGGTTAGAGCTAAAAAGGATCCTACCACCAAATGACTTAATGGGACCTATAAGGCTTTGAGAACTTACTCATGTGCTACAATTCATTTTAATAGCTCTACTTAATTTATTCCAAAATAGATGTACATAACATAATTCTACATTCCATTTCATAGAAAAACATTAGAAACTTGGAACCCAATATATATATATATATATATATATATATATATATATATATATATATATAGTGGCGGACCCAAGACATTTTTTTATGTTAGCACAATTTTTTTATTTTATATTTTAAAGATCATAATCATGATTCAATTTTTGCTTTCATTTCAAAAGTAAAGCTTTAGTGAATCAACCAAAGTTTTAAGGAAATAATAGATAATAAAAAAATAAACACCACAAAAAGACATTGGTAAAATATAATATAATTGTAAGAGTTAATCGATCAAAAACCCACCTTTGTCGATGTCTATTTGATTCAAAGTTTGCCACTTTTGTTTCACAAAAAAAACGTGAAAAATCCCGTGAGATTCTTCTACACTTGATGAAGATTGAATTTCAGAAATGTTATGTTTATTAAGATTTGGAGCTAATAAGATTTATATATATATATATATAAAGAGACAAAGCAATGGGTTAGGGTTTAAGCTTTAAGCTTTTAATTATAGGGGTTGGTTGGGTTGGACATATTTTTACCTTTTTTCTTTAATCTTCCTTTTATTTTTATTTTTTTTTACTTGACTTGAAGCACCCACCTCATGTGAAAAAAAAATTTCTCCAACTTTGTGTCTGCAAATGCAGACACTAGCACTGACGTGCGTCCGTCGTTTTATATATATATATATATATATATATTTTGGTGTTCCAAGTTTCTAATGGTTTTTAGCACCCAAGTTATAACTATTTTTTGCTTATTCATAACAAGGTTTTTTAGCACCCAACATGTTAGTGTAAGTCATTTTATCACTTATCAACATTTATTTGGAAAGGCTTGGTTGTTGCTGTTGTACAATCGTAATAGCCGTTGTTGTATTAATATATATAGAGAGGATTGTGAATCCAAAGATATTCCATGAGGACTATGGAACTTTTAAAATAGTTCTAACCAACTTTAACATCTTTGATTATTAATCGAAGAATATTATTTACATACTAACTTTAATTATATATACACGTAAATATAAGAAGACTTGGCATGTAAGTCTTACACAAATGACTTTATTCTTGAATGTTAAATTACAAATCATTAAACCAACATAGGATATTAAGTCACTCATACAAATACAAACACTACAAACAAAATATAACTACAGTCTAATATAAACTTCACAACTAATAAAAATGTAAACTTTATTAGATAATACTTTTGCCTCTGATACATATAATATTTAGTATGTACTTTAGACTCTCTCTTTTTTGAAGATATTTTAATTAATTTTTCGCTTCGCGACTAGTTCGATTCAGAACGAGTCTCAGGATTAAGGTTTTAAACTTATCTCAACAAATATCTACTTTAGACTCTATCCTCCGCATTTGAAAACATATTTAATAAGATATTTATCCCAATAAAAATAAAAATTGAAAATGCTTTCACATAATATCTCCAGCTAATATGGAAAAATCCTTCATGATTTTAATCGAATAAAATTAACATTATAATATTTTAAAATAGTTTGACATCTCAAATATACATAAAAAAATTTGCCAAACAATTTTTCAATTTATTAGAGGTCTGTATTTTTTTAAGAGCGTACCTAACTTCATCTTATGTAAGGAATTTGTTCATTGACTCAAAAATCCTAATTTCTTAGGCATGTAGATATTTATATTACTATAATTTTGAACCCATTGATTGCGCCACCCTTAATGATGGGGTGAAACTTAAACTTGCATTTATGACTGCGCTTTTGAACGGTTTGACTGTTACGCATAACTCCTGCTAGCTTGTTTGCATGATCATTGCCCTCATTTAATTTTGTTTTGCGGTTTCGATTATCCACAATCCACGGCCCAACTCCATCCTAGCCTTCCGCACCACCGTAACAGCTTGGGCTGTCCCCTCTCCAATCTCACTTACTGCATCTCTGGTGTTCCCCATTTCCAGTAGTTGTGCTAACAAGAGGCACATCTCCACTAGGGGAAGCCACATGATGACAAAGGTCTTTGCTATGAGCAGGGGCTGAGCCAGCAGGGGCTTAGGGTGGGACCGTCTCTCTCTAAAATTTGAATTTTTTTTATAATACATGTAGAAAAATGTGATGACAAAATTACTGTGTTGTACATATTTTTTTCTTTACTTTTTAAAAAAATCTTAAATTAAAATTCCATTAAATTTACTATAGATATTTTAAATACTTTTATTTTAATATATACTTTAACATTTCATACAAAATAATTATTTCTTATACTTTTAAATAATTTTAAATATTATTTAATTTACATTTTTTAAATTTTACGTAAATTTAAAATAACTATCCAAGGTATAATATCTATAGTCAATTTAAATTTCACTTAAATTGAAATTGAAATTGAATATAGATATTTCTGTATAATTTTAAATATTTTTATTTTAATATATATTTTAACATTTTATAAAAAATAACTATTATATATATATATATATATATATATATATATATAGTTCTTATACTATTAAATTATTTTAAATTTTATTTAATTTAAATTTTTTAAATTTTACTTAAATTTATAATAACTATCCAAGGGATAATTTCTAGTTAAATGATAAAATAAAAGAAAGAAGATGTTTTACACATGATAAAAAATTTCCCCTCTCTCTTTTTGTCCAAATTCTATATAGTAACTACCAAAGTTACCATGTGTGCTGGTGGTGGTGGGCTGGTGGCTAATATCATTTGGGTCCATTGGTAATTTTCCACGACGAAAGGAAATATTAAAAAGTCCACGGAAAGAAACCTTTTAAACTTTTCCCAAAACGTATTTCTTGACGAGACATCCCTTTAAAAAAAATCTAATATTTTTTTCTGTATTGATAATTTGATATCAGGTATGACTTTAGCTTAGTACCAAAACTATAAAGGTGAAAATGTATACATAAATTTAAGGGAGTTATTAATCTTACGTCACATAAGATATGTATTTTATATAGGTGAAATAAAATTGAGAGGTTCATAATATTTTTTTTTAAAAAAAAAGAAAAGAAAAAATGGACACAAGTATCTTATGTAACATGAGATAATTATTTCTCTAAATTTAACGATAAAAGAGAGGGGAACATAGTTCCATTAGGAAACGTGTGTCCGTGAGTCTCTAGCTTTAGAAGTCATTTACCTTAAATTGGTTTACAAATTAAGCAAACCGATCTCAGTAGTTAATATTGAGGAGTATTTGGAAGCTAATAATGTAAAGGGGGCATGTGGGGTTGGACATTAAATTGGCTAAATGCTGGAAACATGTGAATGGGAAGCTGAAAAGAACCTTACCAGCTTCGGATCATGCGTATCCCTCTTATCTTTAATTCATGTTTTAATGAAATACACATACAACAAAGTCGAGATCCCATGGCTCAAAGGGACACAATAAATATCGTTCCTCTTTTTGTGATATTTTCAGCTATTTATTTAATTTTATTAAATTAAGATAGATTGACGAAACAGGCCCTAGATTTTAACATTATTTTCACGTTGTATCAAAATGAAAAAGGCAAAATTGTAATATTTTCTTTATCCACACCGAACAAATAATTTTAGGAAACTTGCCTGAAGGCTGTTTAGGTAGTAGAAATCAACACGGAACAAATGTTGTCCTTTAGCTAGTGATAATTTAAAATATCAAGTTATATATTTCACATTGTTTTTCATTATCTTATTTTCATTGGCGATGATGGAACAAATGTTAATTCTCACTTGTATTTTTCTTACTTTTTTTATTTGGTGAGCAAAATTTTAAATTTTTATTATCATCAAATTATGTATTTTAACATTATTTTACAAGTTTAACTATAATAATATCCTTTGAAGAGATAAAATTTTTACAATGACGTGTTAATACATGAAGTATCGTGTACAATGTTTTTAGAACAAATATTAAATTAAGGGATTACTATTTTTTATCTTGTAAGAGATAGTTTTATCTTCTATATTATGAGACTTACGAGAGATCATGTAAAGAGAAAAGAGAAAACAATAAAATATAGATTCCACGTACATTTTATGTATATGTAAAAAATAAAATGAATGATGTAACCTAAAAAACATTAATCCCTTAAATTAAACTAAAGTTATCTTAAGCATTTCTTTTTGAATAAAATTTAGAATTTTTTTTAACACATAAATTCAATTAAATTCTTCTACTTTTATTTTTTTTATGAAATATAATTTAGGGTATCTCTAGCCGACACTCGAAGATCAATTCCCAGAGATATTTGCCAAATGGAAAAAATATTTATTATTTTAAATAATATATATTGTGTTATTTCACGACTCACATTTTTATCCATTTTCTCTTTTTATAATTTTTTTTTTTTTTTGCTTAAAATAATACAACTTGATCCTTTAAAATAATGATACATGCTTCTTTCTCAGTCTTCAAAAATAGAAAACTGAAGAACAATCGAATTGTTCCGTTGTTAAAAAAATAAAAATAAAAATAGAGATACTTGTTGGTGAGAAATTTTGTGAATCTGGATCGGTTAAATCAAACTCGCATAAATAGGAAAAAAGATAAAACAGAAAAATCTTAGTTGTGGTTCTCCTGGTGTCAAGTCGAATCTTCATAACAGATCGTTTTTGTATCCATTTTCACTATAGATTATCCTCTCTTCTATACTTTTGCCAGAAAAAACTGAAACCAAAAGATAGTACTGTATTTCCAAAAAAAAAGAAAAAAGAAGAAGAAGAAGTGGTTCCAGTTATTGTTCTCCCACTCCCACACTGAATCAGAAAACCCTAATCAACTCGTGGAGTTTCAGAGAAGGAGGAAGCATATTAAGTATTGGACTCTGAGAAGATGAAGGGTCTCTTCAAGTCCAAGCCACGCACCCCTGTTGATGTTGTGCGCCAAACCAGAGATCTTCTCCTCTATATCGATCGCAGCTCCGAATCTCGTGACAACAAGCGAGATGAGAAGGTTGTTTCACTTCTCTTTAAATCGCGTTTGTTTGAATTGTGATTAATTTTCATTTTCTATTTTCGCGATTCTGATCTCGACGAACTGTCTGCAATTGCTGTCGGCGTGATAAAATCTTCATGTTCTCTTATGCGAGCACTGGCACACTGATCTCACCACCAATGTGATGAATCTTAATAGCCTTGATTCGCGAATCACAATTTATCTGCAGTTTTTTATGTTCCTGAAACTTTTTGAGTTTTGTGCTGTTATCTTATTAGAACATAGTTTTAAATTCTTATATGCATTTTTTCTCTCGTTAATTTGCAATGAGTTTAGAGAAGATATAATTAATCGCTCTAGTTGGCAGTAACTTGTTTTAAATAATTTGCGTTCATTGGTGGTTGATGCTCATATTTACCATTGCGATTTTCTTGTAGTCATTCTTCTGAAATGTTCGCTGTAATTTTTGTTCGTTTGTTTGGTATTGCTAGGTGGAACTTGAACTTAAACTTGCATGTAAGTGTTAAATGTAATTGTGCTTGAAATGCCATCAGGTATTATGTAGGACAGTAAGAAAGTGAAATTTGTGTGATCGGAATCGAAACAGCTGAAGTGAATCCTGTTTAGTTATTTTTATTTGATCTTGGCTGCATATGCCGGCAAAGTCATCCATTCAAAATTTTGATGTTTACTATTTTTGTGTGATGCATGTAACAGCAGATGTCCGAGCTTTCTAAAAATATCAGGGAGCTAAAGGCAATCCTTTATGGAAATAGTGAATCTGAACCAGTCTCAGAAGCTTGTGCACAGTTGACTCAGGAGTTCTTCAAGGAGAACACATTGCGACTGCTTATCAAATGTCTTCCAAAATTGAATTTGGAGGTAATAAGGAATTTTACTAGAGATCCCAGATATTTGCAGTTCAATAAATATGCTGTTAGATTTACCTATACCCTTTGTACAATTTGTATGGTTATTAAGATGTTGACATTCTTGCATCATCTGGGAGATGGGGGGAATCAGACTCGAATGTTTATCTTGATGCTGTACTGCGATTGTTTGGTATTTGCTAATCCGAGAATATGGGCCTTTGCAGGCCAGAAAAGATGCCACTCAAGTTGTTGCAAATTTACAAAGGCAACAGGTTCAGTCTAAGTTGATTGCATCTGATTACCTGGAGAAAAATATGGATCTTATGGATATTTTGATAGTTGGGTAAGAAATCATTGGATGATTGTTTTGGTTTCTTGATGTTTGTTCTAGTAAGCTTTGCAATCAGTACGGTGGACTCTTCTACTTGACCAAATGAATTGGAATCTAAATTTCTTTTCCTAACAACCGTTGAAAATTTAATGTCCCTGTGAATTAAACATTATAATCTCATATCCCTGATCACCGAATTGTGTGATTTTTTGGTGAAAATTAGTTTCTTCACATGTTTGTCTTGTTCATATTTTGCAATGTGTATGTGATTTCTATTTTTCGTTTTTATTTTTATTTTTTTTTATTTTCTGATTGTGCTTTGTCATAAAATTATGCTTTCTGGCTTTCCCTAGTATTAATTTTAGTATGCAGGTGACTAACTATTGTTGCTTTTTAGCTATGAAAACACAGACATGGCTTTACACTATGGTGCAATGCTGAGGGAGTGCATAAGACACCAGATTGTTGCAAAGTAAGGAAAAATAAATAGATAAATTCATTTTTTGTTATTTGTGTTATGTGGACTATCAAGCTTAAAGCTATTAATGATGGGTGCTGGAAACACAATTATTTTTTGTTAGGGTTATATTCTATGTTAGAATACTATTGCATCTTCTATTCGTATACAGGCACTTTTGATTCCTATATTTTCATATAATTGCACTTCTTAGAGATTTACAATTTAGAAGGGTGCTATGTAGGAAGCTCATATAAATTACTGAACACTAGAATTAAAAAAAGGAAAATAGCTTAGTTCTGATTAATTTTTTCTCCCACCATAACTTTTTTGGTGCTGTAATTCTTCATGGTTCAATATCAGATATGTTCTGAACTCGCTACATATGAAGAAGTTTTTTGACTTCATTCAACTTCCAAATTTTGACATTGCTGCAGATGCTGCAGCTACTTTTAAGGTGGGTTTCATCTGAAAGAACTTATGATCAGTATTTTCATTGCAACAGAAATAGAGCCAATGTTATATATTGTTATCTGGTTTCAGGAACTCTTGACAAGACATAAATCTACTGTAGCTGATTTCCTTTCCAAGAATTATGAATGGGTTGGTTCCCCTTCAACTGAAGTATAAAGTAGCATGTTTATTTTAATCTATATGCTTATATAGACATGCAACCTTTTTTTCTTATCCTGTCATTCTCTTGCTAGATATCATGCATGGGTGGTATGCTATAAACTAGCATGTTTATTTTAATCTATAGACCTGTATATTGACGTACCACCTTTTTTTTTATCCTGTAATTCTCTTGCTAGATAACATGAATGGGTGATTTGCTTGATTGATAAAGTCTTTTATATAAGAGTTTGTAACTTTGTGTTAATGCGGGCATGACTGAGTTTTGTGGTTAGTTTTGGATGGATATTGCTTCTGGTATAAATTATGTTCTGAAAAAGAGAATTTTATAACCTCTTGTTCTGCATATTATTTTAAATTTTATTATCTCCACTTGTGTGACATGATCCTTTTAGATCTATATCTTTTGTTTCTTTGCTTTTAAATGTAGATTTCTGTTACACATAAAAATATGCTCTATTGGAAAATGATTCTTCATGCATGGTGGATAAACACATTTTTTTATTAAATAGCAACATTTATTTTTGCGTTTTTTAACAAGTTTTTTAAATGATTATGATGAAGACTCAATCCAAACCAAAAAATATTAACACAAGAAGAACTCATTAACTGAATACTGATACTATCATACTGGTATATTAATACGTTTGGAATATCTGAATTACAAATATGAAACAAGAACAGCTTCTCAATGATACAAGAAAGCAAATTACAGATAATTGAAAATGGAAACTGAAAGAAAATGACTGAAAACAGATAGTGTGGAGCGATCGGAGAGGCTCCTCTCTCTCCCAAGTTTCCAATCCCAATTCCAGATTCTAGATACCCCTCCCAGCATTCCTCACACTACTTAACCACTTCTTCCCCAACCATTCTGTTGTAACTGATTTGCTGAGTCAGCAAAAGTCGGGCTGACATTTTTTTATTTTAATCCTTCCTGTACATACATGGTCTTGGGTCTGATCGTATCAATACTCTCCCACAAAACTTTCACCTTATCCTCAAGGTGAAGATTAGCCCTAAAAATCCTTCCACCGGGGTCCTATTGCTTGGATTGTAAGAGCCAAAATATGCGCAATGCATGATAACTTTCACCGGGATCCCATGACTCTTCTTCAATGCCAAGAAATGGCTGCATGATATAACTTGCAGAAACTGACAGAACAAATATAGTAGCATTATACAAGTCAAATTCTTCCCCAAAAAACTTAGCAGCATACATCCAATTATCACTTATCTTGGGATAAATGGCATATCTCCTTAGTTGTTCACCAATGACACAAGCACCTACCGCAATATTAATAGAATTTTGAGAAATAACAACTACATATGCAGTGGTTTTGAAAATAGATCCATCCCTCTCAGCACAAACACCAACTCCATAGACAGTTTCCTGTTGAAAATCTGGGTATTCCTTGTCATAAGCTTGCTTAAAATTAAGAGCTCTATGTCCTGCTGCTTTTCCTGCAGCAATTTCAAAGCCTATTGCAGTAGGGCATGCTTTTAGTGCCTCCAAAATTCCAAATTTAGAAGGATCTACCTCAAGCTGGAAAAAGTCTATAGAAGCTTGTTGAGACTTAAGCCCCCCCCTTTAATCTTTTCAGATGCTCCCTTTAATCTTTTCAGATGCTCCGTTGAATAGCTCCATTGATTTTCTCAATTGTCTTTCCCTTATGATATGTATACTTTCAAAGTCACCTCCACGACCAAGTCCTTGGCCGTAGCATAATTCACTCTTCCCAAAAATGACAGCTCTTCGTTCTCCTTGGATTACCGTGTATTTGGTGCCCCCAAGGTGCAAGTTATTAGGGGCAATATATTCCAGTTTGTCAAAGTCTTTCTTAATACCTCTGATCTCATCAACATTAAACTTGAGGAATGAAGAGCTGTGGGCCCATATGGGGCCGTAATGGCCTCCTATGGCTGAGGCTGATAGGTGTTTCCCCTGTGCCTTCGATATTGCACATCAAATTTTCATCAACGTAGGTTTGCCTCGACATTTTATGCTGCAGTATTTTACTCTCCACTTTTTTCTCTTCCTTCTTTGTTGTGGTATTCTTTTTTTGGGTACCCATCTCCTTCTGAAGATCCAAATGGTGGTTTTGTCGCTATCGATGACCTTATCATTGTTTCCTGTGGCAGAACTACGTAATTCACAAGCTCCATTTTTGAAAAAGAAGGGGTTACTCTGGATCGGGTTTGGAACAAATCAGCAAATTGGGCTTGACTCGTCAGCTTATCAATTTGGCCCAATTGTTGAAATGCACTCCCTGGAGCTGTTAGCATTTCTTCTCTTTCTGTATAACGTGGCTGCTGATTTCGTTCATGGTTTTGCCAAAGGAACTCCTCTTTTTTACAACGCCTTGAGTCCGGTGGTCTAGGTGGTGGAGGTGGATTGACAACCACCACTGGAAATGGTGGTATTGCCTCCATATGCCCTTCTTTTCCTTTGCAAAATTAAGTAGTTGCTTTCTATCTACTTTTATGGTTTTGCCTTCCTTTCTACTCCCTTTTTGGATTTTTACTTCCTCGTTGTCCACTTTGTGTTTCTCCCCAATGGTCCCTGTTTCCTCCTTGCCTTTCGTGTTCTTTGGTTTGTCCACCACAAGCTCCCTCTGCATTTTTATTTCTGGCTTTGAAGGTTGCAGCTTTGTTTCCTCAGTTCCACCTCGTCTTCTGTGAGAGTGATGCTTGGTCTTCTGAAGAAGCTTAAGTATCTTCCTATAGTTTTCTTCAACTTGCCTCTCACTTTTCTTCCAATCTCTATATCTGTTTTCCGTTTTTTTTTCTTATTTTTTTTTTCTTTTCTCCGTTTTTTTTTTTTTTTGGTTTCAGTGCTCCTGGATCAGGAGCTCAGATACCACCAATTTGTAAAGACTCAATCCAAACCCAAAAATATTAACACATAAAAGAACTTATGAACTGAATATTGATACTGGTATATTAATATGTTTGGAATATTTGAATTACAAATATGAAACAAGAACAGCTTCTTAATGATACAAGAAAGCAAATTACAGATAATTGAAAATGGAAACTGAAAGAAAATGATTGAAAACAGATAGTGTGGAGCGATTAGAGAGGCTCCACTGTCTCCCAAGGTTCCAATCCCAATTCCAGATTCTAGATACCCCTCCCAGCATTCCTCACACTACTTAACCACTTCTTCCCCAACCATTCTGTTGTAACTGATTTGCTGAGTCAGCAAAAGTTGGGCTCACATTTTTTTATTTTAATCCTTCCTGTACATACATGGTCTTGGGCCGGATCGTATCAAATTATTAACCACTCTAGTGTGTTTATTCGCTGGATCTAGGAATAAAGTTTTAAACTACTACTTTTTAAAGATTTGTTTTGAAGCTTTCTGCTTAGTTTATCTTAATATGCTTTCTGGCTTGTTTGTTTGTGCTTTTTTCAAGGAAAAAAAATCCTTTTTTATTAAAAAATATTTTTAATATCATATGTAAGTTTCTTGAACAAAAGTAAAATTCCCCAAAAATGCAGTTTTAGAACTTTTATCAGAAGCTAGAAAATGTAGTATATGGAAAAAAAAGCTCTGAAATAAAGCCATATCCTAAACTACTACTAATGTTATACCTGGTTTATTTAAATATGGTTATATGTTGATACTTATGAACTACTACTCACTATCTTTTTTGTTGCTGCTTTTAGTTTTTTGCAGAATATAACTCTAAGCTGTTGGAATCTTCCAATTATATTACAAGACGCCAAGCTGTCAAGGTACTATATAAGTTCGGTTTTGATCTCCATTATAACTTACTGATGTGTATGAACATTGAATGAAGTAAGCATGCAGATGTCTGGGCATTAGAGATTCTCTAAGTTGAAAACTTTGGTTTTGAGAAATCTTTGTTTTTTTTTTTGTGTAATGTACATTTGTAGTTTATTTAACCTATGATTGCTGTTGAAAAAAAGGGAAGCCATCACAGCTAGTCAATAAGTACGTTGCTTCTTGCCAGTGCCATTCCATGATTTCCTTTGTTTTTCCCTGGTGAAGTTTGGATTGTTGGTCTTTGCAGTCTTATGTTATAATTGATATGCCAATGCACTGTTATCACTGTTTACATTTTGTTGTTTCATGCTGCATTGTAATTGCTGAGTTGATTTCTTTCTCTTTGCCAGTTGTTGGGAGATATGTTACTTGATCGTTCAAATTCAGCTGTCATGACACGATATGTGAGCTCAAGAGACAACTTGAGGATTTTAATGAATCTTCTAAGAGTATGGTCCCTTTCCAGCTATCAATGATGTATTTCTTTCCTCTATTCTTTTGCTCTTTTTAAAACGTGCATAGCCCTTCACCCAGTTGTTATTGCTGCAGCTTTTCTGAGCATCAAGATTAGAATACAGAACACTTATTTTTAAATTGAGCTTTTGAAGACAGTTTAAATTATTTAATGTAGAAAAGAAAATTAAGAAGTTAGATATATGTTTAAAGTGGGCATTTAATGGGTCATTGCTGGTTTCTTTCTGCAGGAGTCAAGCAAGAGCATACAGATAGAAGCATTTCATGTTTTCAAGGTACTATAATTATATTATAACACACATTTGGAAGTTTTTATTCTTAACCCCCTGCCGTCATTGATATTTGCTTGTCATATCAGCTATTTGCTGCAAACCAACATAAACCAGCTGATATCATCAGTATACTTGTTGCAAACCAAAGTAAGATTCTGAGACTATTGAATGACTTCAAAATCGATAAAGGTAAGTGATGCCATCTCTTGAGAGTTTCAGTTGCTTTTATGGTATCGAATATCATTTTCCCATAATCACATTTATTGGGATTGTGCAGAGGATGAACAGTTTGAAGCTGATAAAGCTCAAGTAATGAAGGAAATTGCTGCACTTGAACCTAGGGAACAACGTACTTGAGCTGCAGATTGCCTTATGTGGCAAGTTGCATAGTGGCATTTCACTTTAGTGATTTGTGTATTATAGTAGTTCTGTTAGTCTTCATCAAGATGAGACTTTTATTTCATACAAATTCCAATACTTCCAATCTGTAATTTTATCACCATCCTGTAAAATAGTAGATAAATAAATTGCTTAAATGATCTACATGCGGTTTATGGCTTTCCAGATATTAGAAAGCAATATAAGTCTTCCTAGTTGCCCAGTAAATTATATATTGTACGAGGTCATGCAATAATCTGACACACACAAATTTGTTTGACTAATTTTCTTTGTATGATGAACCTTTTATTACTCTGCATTAGCTCCCGAACAAGTTTTGGACCTGCCGAATAGATTATTGGTTGAAGCTCTTGTCAGTATTCGATAATGTTTCCTGTGTTCCTACACAATAAGCAGATTGGCGATTACCTCGGGCATTGAGGGTAGGTAATTCTAGAATTTTGTGAAACAATTTTTTATAGTAATTAGTTTGGAGTGAGAACTGTAGGCAACTTGCTTGGACTACATGAGAACTGTAGTTGAAACGAAACATCTACACTCCGCAGCGTCTTTGTCTTCATTTTGCAACAAAATTTAGAGCGTGGCCTGTCTTATTTGTGGCTGAGGGGAAGTTTCTTTGAACCCCCCTCACAAAAACCAAAAAAAACAAACAAAAACAAAATTCCCTTTCTGTGCGATAGGTTCGTGTATACAAAAGGTCACCACTCACGAGTGAACCTAAAACATGGAAAAGTGTCGGCACGGAACCAAAACAACGCATCAGCATAGTCTTCGCATATTCCGTATGACGCTCACTACTGCTAGTTCGGATATTCCATAGTCTCTCAACTCGAGTTTAAGCTATTTTGTTACTACCTCGCAACACTCCTTATCAATATAATTTAATTGATTCTTGATGTAAACTTTTTTACAGTATGTATCAAATTATGCATTGATATCTCATTCAAAGAAGTTAAGTAATTGTTATAGTCAAACTAATTTAATGTTATCGCAATACATAATTAAAGTATAAGACCACTTACACAATTGACGAATATTTTATTTTGAATATAATTTGAATCGCAAACGTGTTTGAAATATATTAAAGAGTAATTGGATGAAAATTTTATAGTCTTACTTAAAGAAAGTAAGAAGACTAAACTAATACGAAAACTTATAAATTAAAAAAAAAAAGTAAAACTAAAATCAAATTAAATGTAACAAAATTTTGATATAGGCAACTTAAATAGAAAAAAAAAATAATTTTTTCCTTAATGAACTTTTAAAATAAAATTTCATTTATAAATTAATTTGATTCTTTCTAAAATTAGTAAAAAAATATCCAAAGACAATTTCTATTTTTTAACAAATGACTTGGTCTTTAAGGTATTTTAGTTATTAAATTTATAAAAAAATGACAACAAATGCTAACATTGATGGAAAAGGAAAAAACTTGAATTCAGCTTTAATGAAAATAGAAAATATTATTTTGTTGTTAACTATATCAATTAATTTTTAATTAAATTTATTATTGAAATGTGTTAAAATTTTAATCTATGAATTTATTAATTAAATCAAAAAATTATGATATAAAATAATTAAAAAATAAATTTAAAACGACATATTCAATAAATAAAATTTCGTTTCTTATAAAAAGAACAGCAGCATTACATAGCAAAATAATTTTAAAATATAAGGTAATTTGTTTTAGTAAAGAATAAATATAATAAAAATAAGTTTATGACTAATAAACTGAATTCTTTTTTTATCTTAAATTTATTTTTTATTTATTTTAATTTTGTATTTTTTAATATTTATTTAATAAAAAAATTTACATATTAAATATTCTAATATATTTTAGTGCATAATTTAATAATTAAAAAGTAATAAACATAATTAATAATAAAGCAAGATTATTTTTTATTAAACTAAGTTTATGTTTTTTTTTTTTTGGGTAGCTAACTAAGTTTTTGTTTTACTTCTTTCTTTAAATTTAATAATTTCAATTTGTGAAAAGAATTAAATTCATTTATTCACTAAAAAACATTTTTTATTTTTTATTTTTTTTAAAAAGAGATGAATAAGTTTCACATACTCTTTTACTCTTTTTCTCTATATTATGCATATAATAATGTACATCTGCAGGTGCGGTTTGTTGTGCTTTTGCAGTGGTCACTGATCAGTGGTTAGTTAGTGTGCTTAGTTACTTTCTTCATTCTCTTTCTCTCTCAACAATTCAAGAAGATAATGGCTGACAATGGTACCACTCAATCTCTCTCTCTCTCTCTCTTGTTTTAGTTTGTGGTGTGATCTTATACATAATTACTCATTCGTTGATTCATTGCAAACTATAGATTCGCTCTCGGAATTCCTCGCATCTGCAGTCGACGCTGCTCGCAAAGCTGGTGATGTCTGTTCATTTTCATTTTCATTTTCGTTTCGAGTCTTTCCATTAATTCATTTACCCTTTCATTTCTTCTCTTTATATTTTTCTTGAATGATTTCCAGGTTATTCGAAAAGGGTTCTACCAGACCAAACACGTGGAGCACAAAGGACAGGTTTGTTTGCATTCCCTCCTCTGTTTTCTTGTTCTGTTCTTGTTAAGAAATTCAGTTAGGTAATGGAATCATGGGAATTATCAAACATATAAATAAATGATAAAAGATTTTAGCTCCTTTATTTTTTTTATCATCTTTTTCTTTTTGTTGTGATGCACAGGTTGATTTGGTCACAGAAACTGATAAAGCATGTGAAGAACTCATTTTTAATCATCTCAAGCAGCTTTACCCCACTCATAAGGTTGATTCAGCTTTCCTTCAAATGAGTCGACCTTACATATAATTAAGTTAAAGATGGGTGGCTATTCTCTCTCTTTTTGCCTATATATACTACCATTTAAATTGGTGTTCTTGTTAGTTCATTGGGGAAGAAACCACAGCTGCTTGTGGCACTACAGAACTTACGGATGAACCCACTTGGATAGTTGATCCCCTGGATGGAACTACTAACTTTGTGCATGGGTAATTATCAATTATGATGTTTTAGTTGATAGTGATATACTTATTTCCATATTGATTGGCTGATTCTACTGTTTGTAGGTTCCCCTTCGTTTGTGTCTCCATTGGGCTTACAATTAGAAAAATTCCTACAGTTGGTGTTGTATACAATCCAATAATTAATGAGGTGCGAAATCTTCCCTCGTACATAAAAATTTTATTCAATATTAAAACATAATTCTGCATGTACTACTTTTTGTTTTTGGTTATGGGATGCTGGCGAAATGAAGAAACCGGGCAAGACTGAATAATATAGCCAAATTGTAGTCAATTGTTGTGTTTTGATTTTTTATCATCACTCTTTTCAGTAACCATGAAGAGATAAAAAAGACTTGTCTGAGAGTAGACACTGAAGTAATTCATTTATGAATATGACACAATATAATTTATGTTTGAATTAGGATTATTGGCATGACATTTTTTAGTATTTTCAATAAGATTTCTTCTCTTGCTTAGTGCAAATTGAAATTTGGTATTACTGTATGTAGCTTTTCACTGGAATAATTGGGAAAGGTGCTTTTTTGAACGGGAACCCCATAAAAGGTGTGTCCTCTGTTCTTTATCTTTTGATTGTTTGTTGTTAATTAGACATCATGCTAATGCCTTGAAATTTCAGTTTCCTCACAAACTGAACTAATGAGCTCTCTTCTTGCAACTGAGGTATGTGAAGCCTGTTATAATTATTTGAAATAATACATTTTTTTATTTTATTTGCATCAATGAAGTGTATTCCCCTTCTCTCCTTATTGTGCTCGTGTTGATGACAAGCATGGAACTGAGAAATATAGTTTGCTGCAAAATATCAATTTGTGGAATGGCCATCTAAGTGAGAATAGTTCTTTCATTTCAGCTAATCATAGTAGCTTTATACCAACCATGTGAACAGTAATAAGCCTTGCTTATGTCCTGTGTTTGGTCTAACACCCAATTCGACTTGTATATGCCATGACTTTCTCTTCCTATTAAGTTCGTCATCCTCATCATAACCTGACAGTCTTGTTCAACACATTTGTTCAATATGATACTGCATAACTAACATTATGGCCATAACTGCTGAACCCATTTAAATCTTAATACTCACTTTTTCTCCCTAGTATGATCAATGTGTATACCTTCACTAATCTAATAACCCCTTTTTTTGTTCCTCTTTTATTTTTAATACAGTTGGTGAAGTAGGAACCCTCTCTGACGAGTCTATATGTCCACAAAATTTATTATACTTGCCAAATTTTTGTGACATAATCACATAATCGAATTATCTGTATACCTGTAACTCGCCTGTGTTGAATTTTTAAATTTTATGTACTCCTCAATATTTAGATGTTTTAAAATGATTTGAAATCATGTCAGGGCAGTCAAATTAGATTAGAGCCTTAGGTTTTGAATGCTATTTCCTGTTCAAACATATCAAGTTTTAAGCTCATTCCATATATATGCATTTCGTAACCTTGGTAATCAAATGACTGTTGTTTGCAATCTTAAAAGGTACAAAATCTAAACATTTCATTTTATTCTGGCAGTAACTGTGAGTTGTTGACAAAACCATAACAATTTAATTGTGGAAGTAAAGTTTATCTTTTCTAGGAGTACATTTTAATGTTAGGAAACTGTTAACATATCAAAGTTACATGCGATCATTTAACAGATTGTAACTTGTGATTGTGAAGTCTGATTTAAGTTGTATCATAACTGTAAATGTATTTTTTGCCTGCATTTTTGTGTTTAATTGCATACAAATCTGGTCCTTTCGGTCACTAAGATTATCGTAGTTTCTGGAATACTAACTTCACATGTAATACTAATAATATTGGGTCAGATTCACTTGTAAACATGTTCCCTTTAAATCAAGACAAATTTGAAATTCATCAAAAAAATTCACTTCTGAAAGAGCAGGTTGGAACAAAACGTGACAAGTTAACAGTAGATGCCACTACCAATAGGATTAATAGCTTGCTTTTCAAGGTAAATCCAGGACTTGCTATGGAATTTATCGTACCAAGGTGATATGACTGACTCTGCCATGACCACACCTTTTCTATGTTCTATGCCAGGTGAGATCTCTTCGAATGAGTGGCTCCTGTGCTCTGAATCTCTGTGGAGTTGCATGTGGAAGGCTGGATGTATTCTTTGAAGTTGGCTTTGGCGGTCCTTGGTATGAGCTTCTCCTGCATAAATGTTAGGCATTGTGATAAAGTGATTCACACGGTCTCTTCCTTTTTACAGGGATGTGGCTGGTGGTGCTGTCATTGTTAGGGAAGCTGGAGGTGTTGTGTTTGATCCGTAAGTGATTTTGCTTAGACATCCTTATTCTTAACGAAGGGAATATGTATGAAGTTCTAGATAGTCTCTGCATCGTTAGGTGCATAGTCCATTGTTTGCTGGACAGTTATGTAGACATTGTTTGCTGGATATGCATTGTGGCAAATTTTATGCAACTGTTGACAGGACTTGCTATCAGTATAGAAAACTATAAAACCCAAAGTTTCATAGATATGTCCGAAAGATTTCACACTTAAAAGTCAAAATCTGATGTTTCGTTTGGTTCAGGTCTGGTGCAGATTTTGACATTATATCTCAGCGAGTAGCAGCTTCAAACCCATTCTTGAAGGATGCAATTATTGATGCTCTGCGCCAAACGGAGTGAGAAATTTACTATCTATCACTGATGACGAGAAATTGGCATATAAGTCCATCTTTGTTAGTTCATTCAACTTTTGCTTGAATAATGCTCTGATTCTTGCTTTAAATTAATTCCATTCATGTGGCCTATGGGAGGAATCCCAAAAATTTCCGTCTTCCTAATGCTGTGATTCTTTTAATCTTTTCTCCTGAGCCTTTTTTTAAGAGTAAATATATTTTTTAGTCCCTGAAAATATTTTCGAAGCCCTTTTCAGTCCCTAGCAATAAAAAAGGGACAAATTGGTCCTTGAAATAACAAAAAAAGGAGCCACATTGATCCTTCTGTTAACTCCCACGTAACGGCCCAACTAACGGTGCCCATTTGGCACGGTAGTTTGCTGACGCGGCTTGGATGTGGTACACCGTGAAAGAAGAGACGACGACGTTTTGTGAGTGGCTTGCATCTAAATCGAAAAAATTGCTCATATGAACCCTAAATAGAAAAATCCTCCAAATTGCTCAAATGACGTTCATTACAGACGTCATCTACCGATCTAAAAAAATTTCTTTTTTGTTATTTCAGAGACCAATTTGTCCTTTTTTTATTGTTAGGGACTGAAAAAGACTCCGTGGATATTGTCAGGGACTAAAAAGGATATTTACTCCTTTTTTTTTTAATTTCTTATCTTATTGGTTTGCGGTTTAGTCTCTTGGCACGATCTCAAAAAAAAAAAAAAAAAAAAAAAAAAAAGGGCAGAAATACGAGAACAATTGCAAGTACTCATAAAATGAGTTGGCGTGCGCATCTGCTCGTGGGTTTGGTTTTCAAAAATTTAGAAAAAGGGGAACATGGTGTATTTAATATAGAAAATGATGTTTACCAAAAAATATATATATATAGAAAATGATTGAATCCCGAACAGTATAAAGCTAAGTTCGAAGAGGATAGTTCCAAGAGAGGAACAGAGTATTGAACAGCCCGATACCCTCTTTAGGAAGGAATATGAGAAAAAAGAGAGCAGGACCAATCAGTCCCTTTGATCTGACCAAATTCAAATATTCTAATAAAGGCTGGGTCAATGTCCACCAAAATGTGCCATATGCAGGGCATCTAAGCTGTACTTATACTCTAATTTACAACTGCACTCTTAATTGAAGTCTAAGGTCACTAAAGAACTTTAGTTCGGCATAGTTTGTTAGTTGTTTTTGGAAAAACTTTACCAAATTGTGTAGTAAAATCCGGTCGGGTTATGGCACGAGCAAAAGGATGAAAGAAAATTTGAATCTCTTCATCTTATCCCGATATAAAAAATAATAAAGATATTTGAAACTGGAAGGTATTGAGAAAGAGAAGGATAAAAGTAAAAAATAAATACAAATATGAAGAAACCGATACAAAGCATCCTCTGGAAAAGCATGGAGAAAACCATGCCCCAGGAATTAACTATCCTATGAAAGAATATCTCAAAACCAGACTCTAAAGCAACAGAGAGTATCCTAAGTACGCTCAATATATGTAAGCAAATATACATAAGGGTCTAATAACAAAATTCATATAGATAGGATCCACAAGCCAAAATTCCAGTGTCTATCCGGCCACCTACCCTACACCTGCTGTGGCCTAGAACCATATCCATGAGCCCCATTTGTTCCATTAATGTTTGCTGTCTTGCCCTCTGATTTCCTCCTCTGCAAGACTATGATCCATGTGTAAGCTTCCAAAAGGGCAGCAATGCCACCCAAAGCTGCAATAATGCCAATGTACGCATGCTTCCAGCCATTGTAGCGATCACCCACGGAATTCCCCAATGCTTCGAACCCTTTAAAGATGTTGACGATACTGATGACTATGGTGGTGTATCCGATGGTGTAGTGGTAAATATTCCAGTAGAATCTGTATTTGTTATCTTTGTTGGGCCTCAAAAGAAGAGCAAAAACCTGAATCCAATCAAAAGAGGTTTTCTTGTCAGTCCCATTACAATAGTAACATATCATCCAGAAGCAAATCATGAACATCTCATACCTGAAGTGTTCCAAGGCAGAAGAGGATGATCCCGAGTGTTCTATGGGTTGAATACTCAATACCAACAGAGTCACTGCCGAGTTTGAGACCAGTTCCCCATCCAGCAACACCAATTATGTAAGCAGCGGTTTGGCAGGTAACATGAAGGTAAAACCAAGCAGGGTCTGCAGATTTGAACACCTTCAAATACCTTGCTATTATGGCACCCAAGGGCATCAAGATCCCCCAGCTCACAGCATTCAGCACTCCATGGACCTGAAAAAGTTAACAATCTTCAATCAATTATTAAAAATAAAAAAATAAAATAAAAATCCAAACTTTCGGTGGCTGAACAGTGAAAACCATGTTATAGAATAAATTTTGATTGTTAAAGTGAGGTACTTACGTTTCTTCTTTTCCTAAGTGAATTCCCTGATCCTGCTTGACTGGTACCAGAAACAAGATCCAAACTTTCCTTGGCGTTGAGGTTAGAAGAATCCTGGGCATGGGTTTGTGGGGAAGAACCAGAGAGAGGACCATCTTGCCAAAGGTGGACCAACTTGGTAGTACCACTTGGAAGAGTGAGTGTAGCATAAATGGTCACCTCACTATTCTGATAAGTAGCTGTCAAGCCTGAGTTAGGATAGCTGATGTTTCCCTCTGCCAACTGGGTGGTGTAGCCAGAAATGGAGGAAGTATAGACTCTTGGGGCACCACTAGATTGTGGTATAACCACCAAAGCCTGTGCTCCAACCATGGCTTGATTAAGGTCACTGTTGGGATTGATAGCCCATGAAACCCACCTGTCTGTTGAGGTGATCCCAGTGTGTCTGAATGCTATTTCCAGTTTCCCTGTGGTCTGGTCATAGGTCCAGTGGAGGTACGAGGTTAAGTGTGGAAGATCACGGCATGAAGTGAAAACCTTGTTGTTTGTGAAGGTTTGTGTATTGCATGTCTGTGCCAAGGATGTCAGAAACAGAGTGCTCAAGACAGAGATGGCCAACACAATCCTCACCATCATCAACTTTTCAACCATGTTGGTAAAATCCCCTTCTACTCTCTCTTCCCTTCCTTGATCCTGAAAAAAGGGGTACTTGCTGATACCTGAGAAGAAGAAGGAAGGAGATCTGTTAACAAACAAATGGCTTTCGAGAACTAAACTGAGAAAAAGTGATTATGGTGGTGTTTGTTTGTCTCTTTCTGCGGCCAGCACAACAAAACGCTTTAGGCTGTGGGAGAGACAGAGAGAAGATGGGGGTTATTATAAGAGTGGGTGGGTTTAGGTAGTTGAGTGGTTGATGTACCACGATGACTAAAAGTCTCAGGACAATTTTTTTTATTTTTTTATTTTTTATTTTTTAGAAAACTCTAACAAAACAAAAATAAAAGGTTAAATTTTTAAGTAATCACCGAAAATTCTAGATGCTAAAATTCAGGGAAAGTACGAACTATTATATTTTCAGGACTCATTAAATATCAATTTAAAAGCTATAATTGTTTATGAAATTATAAAGGGCTTGTTATTTGTGTGCCATGAGTCATGACAGTGTCCACCCGCCCCATGAGAGGAAGCTTCCATTACGTGTGTAATGTTCACGCAATTTGATTTGTTCTACAAAAAATGGGAATTCCGACTTGTGCAGTTGGACAAGTTTTTCTACCTTTCCAAAACAACGATCCCTTTTCACACTTGTCTCTTTGTATAGCTCCAGTCCACACTTCACAAATATTTTCTTTTTCTTATTTTCCCACTTTTTGAACGGCCAATATGAAAGTGTTCACAAAAGTTGTAAACTTAAGATTTTGATGGGTGAGGGGGTGAGTCATGGGAGAAGGAACATAAATTTGTTGGCCAGTTTAACCAAACAAATGCCATTTGTTATGTGGCCTGCAAGTTCTCCCCTAATAAGTTTTGGTTTTATTTGCGTTGCAATGTCGTCAGTCCCATGCCAAAGGGATTGACCGTGTTTCTTCAAATCTCGTCATGACATATACGCAACTGGTAATCAAATAGTATATACTTTATTCAATACACGTATTTTGTTAAAAATTTAAGTTTAGTGTTAGCTCATGTTTGAATCTCAAGCTTGACTTCAATTTTAATATATATACTTTTCTGTGTACGGAATGAATTGTTCATAAAAAAAAAAAAATTAGAAATCGTAATTCATAACTATCAATTCATTATGCTTAGGTATAATGTAAAATAAAATAAAAAATCAATATAGAAATTTACCGTTTCTGACAGACGGCGCTAATGTTCGATCCGAGCGAACTTGAACCAAGAATATTCACCGACTAAGTTATAACTCAATATCGGATTTGTTCTCTCGCGAGGTATAAGCGTAGTATTTGTGCACAATAAAGACAAAACAAAGAAGAGCCAAAAGTGTATACCTAAGGTCTTCCACCTTTATTTATAGTGATTACTTATTGGATTTTGGCCTTAACTTGTTTAGATAGGGATCTTATTCCATAATCTTCAAGTGCTTAGGTTGCTGAGATAAGGACCTTCAGATTGTTATCAAGGCTGATTTGGTTGTTTAGATAGGCATCTTAGCCCTTAATCTTCTAGTGCGTAGGTTATTGAGATAAGGATCAGATATCTCCATCCGTAACATATTGTATTTTAATTTTCAAATTAAAAAAGTTTAAACAATCAGGCGTTTAAATTTGAAATGTTAAATTTTAAGCCGAACTTTTATTATATGCAGTCTGCTACATATAAGGTTTGCTAATTTAAAATGAATTAGCTCTGTTAACAGAAAAAATATTTTTATATAGATTACTAAATTTTGTATTACACATGTATATATAATGTACATGTCACATTAACCGTGGGAAATATTTTTAAACCTAGTTTGAGAAAAATAACTAGAAAAAGAAATCCCAAAACAAATAATCATTAGACTTCCAATTTAAGTTTCTGGAATACTTTCTAAGGATTGATGGGGCAAAGAGGTGACTTTATAGTTGGCATATCTTTACCATGTGACTGGAAATAAATTTTGCACCGATGATTGAGTAACTTGTAAAATTTGCATCTAAGCAGCTTGAATTGCGAAACACATATTGTTGGTCAAATACAATTACATAGTCAACGTTTGAGGGTTCCTTATTTTTGTTTCTTTAATTTCTTATTATTTTTAAGTAATTCCTCGTCTAACACATTTTTACGTATGCAGTTACCATTACCATGTTCCGAAAGTTTGGGTCGGAGTCAACTCTGACAAAGTGTTTAATGAGTAATTATTTGTTCTAATTTTCTAATATTGAGGCTGCTCCATAATTGATTCAGTCAGCAAACTTGGACATAACACTCAAGTCAAGAAACGCAAGCGGAGTTAATGCAACCAAACCCATATTACCTTGTAATAGGACTCAGTTTCCGATCATTAGCATTAGCAACCAACCAATAAAGCAATGCCCACTACTATCGAGAAAAAGGCAATGGTCCAAGTTAGGTTGTTTCCATATTCCATGTTTGAGGAATAATGGTGCGTTTGTTTAACCCTTTTTTACTAACAAAACAAAAAAAGTGTTTTTTTTTTCATTGAGTGAGATTTTAGAATGTTTGAGTAACACTGCGTTTGTTTGAAATATTTTAGAATGTTTGAGTGAGCTTTTATTGAAAAAAGAAGAAGCAAAATACAAGTTTGTAATTTATTTTCAAAACCTCCAATGGGCACCTTCCTTTTGAGAGTCTTTTGTATTGAGTTAATCAATCAGTGAGATAATCGCTTCCCCATAGATTTCCAAAATATATAAAATAAGATGGTTTTGTTTTCTGCTTATTTATTTTTTAAACTCGGATTCTATAGTTGTATCTAAATTGTATACAAGTCTTAGACAACTTTTTCTTCGCACTACTAACAAACACTTCAATTTTTTATTGGGTGCAAATTATATAATTATTATTATGGTTAAAAAAAGTAATAACGTGATAATGTATGATTTAATAATAATAAAAAAATTCAGAGAATAAAAATGAGTCGGTGAATGAAAGATGCCAAGTAACGCAGTGGAACGCGTCAAGCGGGTTCACATTTTCGTAATGGGACCACACATTGGGTGCCCCACGCTCTACGCTGCCGCTTATATGCCCAAGTCCTCGTGGTCACAGTCACCCATACACGCCATTCTTCTCTTCAAAGTCAACAAAAATAAAAATTTCACAACTAAAGAATTAAGATTACTATTTTTTCCATTAAAAGGTTTACAGAAAGTTTTAATTTCTATATTTTTTTTTTGGTAATTATTTCTATAATTTTAATTAATTTAAATTGTGGTCTTTGCAATTTACTAAATTTATACAAAATCGTTTAACACACAAGCTCTACATAAATCATTACATTATAAAAAAAATTGGTAGACAGCCATTATATTATAATTATTTGTATCGTATTAGACTTTAAATTTAAATTAATAAAATATGGTGCTAAAAACAAATAACAATTAACCTCCTAGTTTCTAAGAAAATTTTCAAATCCGCCTATAACATTTTAATGTGATGTATACCATAATTGTTTTTAAATATGACCTACAAAATAATATATACGATTCTATTATATATATATATATATATATATATATATATATATATATATATATAACTTACTTATCAGTCATTTAATATAAAAGAAAAAACTTATCACAACAGATTTTGAGGAAAGCATGATGTAAGCAAAGAAAACTACTGAAAACATAACACATCATTTAAAATAAAAACTGATAATAATCTACTATTATATGAGAAGGGTTTCATAATTTTCCATGTGGTATGTAGGGTTCCCATAAATGATAAGACCACGTTTGTGTTACTGAGAAAATATAGCAATACTTTAGTTAGTACTACTTATTTGTGTTACTGACATTTTCCAGACTTCTGTGGTAAACGTTTGGAAAAAGGTTTGGGTTATGTGAATTTCTTGTTAAACTATCAATTTGACGCGTCAATTTGTGCCACGAGGTGCTTGTTTAATGGGTCAATTGTTTTACTTGCTTTCCTTTTACTTGTCCATGTTTACACGTCTTTACTCTTTTATGTAATTGTCATGGGTGAAGTCAGATTTTACGCCTTTGCTGAACAGAAAATCCTATTTTGCCACTCCTTGTTTTCTCACCTTTACATTTTAAGGAGGATTGTTTGATGCTACAAGTGATATGTGTCATTGATTAAGTGAAAAAAATGAGAATCATAAATAAATATTTTGCTGATCAATGATCCAAAATACGGACCGTATGTTTGTATTAAAAAAATAATATATAATTATTAATATAATATTCACCTAATATTATATATAATTATTAATATATTATTAACCTAATCAATGATCATAAATAAATATTTGGGTCATCTCTTTTTTTAAATTAAAAGTTACTTATGAACATAAGTTAGGCCAAACATATTTTAAGAAAAATTCTTTTTTTTATAACGAAGAAAAAAGTTAAAGACCAAAAGCTCTTATTAGTAGTTTTTTTATATATTCTTATATACTTTCCTTGAATTGTGTGCAATTTTTGAAATAAAGAGCTGTGGAGATAGAGAGAGATTTCTTGAAATATGTGTTTTTAAGTAACTTTTAAGCTAAAAATTTTAATTAGCCACTAAAACAGCTTTTAGTGCTCATTTGGATGGACTTTTATTTCTAAAAAAGTTGTTTTTTTTAAAATAAAAGTCATTTTGAGAATTTTTAGATGTTTAGATAACGTTTTTAAAAAATAAAATTTTAAATAAAAGTTAAAATGCTATTTTTTTTAGCCAGTAGTTGGTTGCTTTTGAAAAAACAGAAATTAAAAGATAATATAATTTTTTTTTGAAAATAAGATAATATAATTTTTTAAAATTAATTTTAACTTCGTCTTATCATACCTATTTATTCTCTCGTTATCTCACGATCATGCTATTTTATCTCTCCTTTATTGTAATTTTATATATAAAAAGTTATTTTTTGTATTTTAACATCCAAATAATTTTTTTACGTAAAATTGATTTTCAGATCATACATTCAAGTGTAAAATAATTTTAACTTTTAGAAAAAGTTTTTTTTAAAAAAAGCAATGCATAAAAGTCATTTTTTAAAAAGCTCATCCAAACGGACCCTTAACTTTCTTTTTTTAAACTATTTTTTTTAGCTTTACCTTATAAGTTAACTTAAAAAAAAAAGCATCTAAACATTTTCTTGTTCACCTCGTCGATCATATTCAACAAGCTAGGAACCCTCATATTACCTTTTACGAGCCTTTATCTCAACTT